TTGACGTTCATCGTCTCACTCAGATAAATATATTCTAGTCTGTGTATCTTGATTTCTAAAGAAAATCAAAGTGACACTTCAAAATCATATCATTATTAGCTTGAGCTGTTTAATGTGCTCACCCAAAGTTTTTTTGTAAATGCGAGGTCGAACAGGTTACAGATATCCATACGAAAGCTGTTGTTTATATCCTTGAAGAATTCGAAGATAAAGTTTGATTTGTTTGTAATAAAAGAATACTTAAATCTGACCTCAGTGCGCTTAGAAAATCAAAAGAAGAATTTCCTGAAAATTCTGACACTGCTTCCCAACAGAATCTTCTGACTTTTATGAAGTATGTTCAAAATATTCAAATATTCCGTTGAGAAAGCTGTAGCTCACACCGAAAAATGTTCAGTAAAACCTTGTTTCGGTTTTCTAAGCGCGCTGAGATCATGTTCAAATACACTAATGCAAAACAGTAGAATAAAGGTTAAAATATTTCCCAGGCATTTGGTTGGCTTTTCAGTACACTCACTGATGGAGCAGATTTCTGCTGATAAACTGAATACTATTCACCTCCTTGTGATATAGTGGTGACAGAATATCAAAAGACTAAAATGACAGCCAGTAGGTTGAAAAACAAACTGGGGTTTTGTGATGACTATTTTGATTTAATCACTGACTGCAGGCCACTGAAAAGATGAGAACAGTAAACTGTTGTTTCATTTTACTTTGATGGCCATTCATAGCACCATAAGGGAAACAATCCAAGACTATCAGTCTCACGTTGACCATGTTGCTACTGAGGTCACAAATTGAAAACCAGTGGTCTACATTCTCTAATCCTGTCAATTTGTCAAATGGTGCAACCATTATACAATGCGATTGAAGAGTATCTATCCTGAAGGTAAATTGGTTGATATAAGTCAAAGCTTCTCACTAGAAACTGAGGGAATCTGTCTCAAAACATATCGCTTATCAGCACTGGACTGAGAGCCAACTTGATTGTTGAGATATTGTAATTTCAATGTTTGATGACAAATACATTGAAATATCAAGATTATTTTTTCAGTAAATAAGCAGTACCATATGAAAGAAATGTCAAAGACAAAATAATAAGAACCACATCTTCATGTAAATAGCAATCAGCTGAGGATTATATCTAGGTCAATAACCTTACTCATGTATACAGAGCTGACAACTTATTCATTATAACATACTAAGCAGAATTCATTTGTCAACATTACCATGTTATATCTATTGTAGAACAAATAACGATTCAATATTTCAATTCCGTGATCATAATTTTCAATCCTTGTTTTTCATATCTTTAATGGTTTTCAAGTGAAGTACACTAAAAGGTGTGCTTGGTATCACAATGAGAAATATCTTCACTCTACATCCTTTTAAAACAGCCAGAAATCGCCGAATACATTCGGAATTGATGAAAACTAACTGCAATTTTCAAGACAACTGCATAACTGTGTGAGTAAATGTGTAATTGGATAAGCAGGCTGAATCAATGATTCTAGGCTTAGTTTCATCACACATGGAAATCACAAGACTTCCAACATCAACTTGCCTACAAATCTAGGGCTGATCAAAAACATGTTTTGAGACGGATTTTCGCAGGTTCTAGTAAGAAGCTGTGACCATCATTGACAGGATTAGGCGAATATATCCCTTTGATTCTAACCCATTGGCTGATTGGTAGTTAATTCATTTTGCAACACACATTTTGTTATCTTCCCAAGTAATCAAGCAACCATCAGGCGTGGAATTTGAAAGCTGCGGTTGAAGAGTTAGCATATTTCTTTGCAAGCTACATTGAAACAAGTGGATCTGTAATGACTAACTAATCAGTGCACATCGCCACCACCATTTAGCGTCAAACTTCTTGTAAAAATACCAGGTTTCTACTTTTTATCCAATCTGAAACTAAATTTATTGAATGATACTTATTAACTAACTTTCTCGACTTGTGTTACATAACAAAAGATATCAGAAGTTGAAATTTGATATTCAAATGAAGCAGTCATCTTGTCACGATCGAAAATCAATGTATCTCAAGACCAATTATATAACCTGAATACATGGTTGTATATAACATTATATTATTATTGTTAGTCCCTTGGGTTCCTAATGGAACATAGGACATCAGTAACACGTCTCCAATGCGCTCTCTTCTCTGAAATCTTTTGAAACTGGCTCCACGATAGCCCACAAGCTCTCATTTCCTCCTCGCACCATCTCCCCCATGTCACCATCAGCTGGGACACCCAACTCGTCGCTTCCCATGAGGTTTTCACTCGAGGGCCTGGCCTGATGCGTGATGTCCCCAGTCGGCCTTCTCAGTGTATGCCCAATCCATCTCCACTTCCTTCTAGTGCATATTTGTTGGGTGATAGCTTCTTGGTTGGTTCGTTGCCATCCAGCCAGAGTTCCTCGTTGCTTATCCTCACTATTCTGGCCATTTGATCTTCAGTAACGAGCCAGAGCAGGGTGCAGTTATTGATGAATATCTGTAGTTTGTTGGAAATGTGTTTCGTAACTCACCAAGTCTGTGAGCCATACAGAAGAACTGACTTGACTTTGGTGTTGAAAATCCAGATCTTGTTCCCCATGCTGAGTGCAGAAGATCTCCACACTGGTTTCAGGCTAATGAACGCCTGTCTTGATGTCTTTCGGATCCTGGCCTTGATATCCTCGTCTGTGCCACCGCCTGTAGTTGAAACAGTGCTGTCCAAATAGGTGAAGAAGGCTACTTCCTTTAAGTTTCTCCCGTTCATGGTGATTGGAGTTTGTTGTTGTTGGTGGTGGTGGTACTGATGTTGGTTGGGTATCTTCATCACATCTGTCTTCTCTATATTCACTTGAAGTCCCGTCTTCGCTGTTCTGCCCTGCCTCTTCTGTCAACTTGTTAGTTTTTGCCTGTAAATCTTCAAGTTTGTGCGACATTACACACAAGTCATCGGCGAAATCCAAATCTTCTTTCAGGGTCTTTTCATCGGTCCAGCCAGCGTATCCCCCTCTTCTCACAGCTCCTCACTGTTTTTTGCATGATCCAGTCCACTACAATCAGGAAGATCATGGGTGATAGTAGGCAACCTTGTTTCACTCCTGTCTTTACTTCAAAAACATCACTGAGTTTCCGGTTGAATATAACATGGATAAATTAATTTTTAATATAAATTAACTGAAAAAAGACATTAAGCACTCGAAAAGAGTAAACGCGTGTAAAATTAAACTTTAAAAATTTTCTTCATGGAAAAAAATGTTCATCTTCACACCCTTGACCGAACTGTTTGAAGTTATCTCATCTGAGTTGCTTACTCAACACAAATGTTATGATCTTTTCTAGAAATTTTATTTAACCCTTCTGAATATGTTGTGTCCGTCTTATCCAACTTCTACTTGAGAACATTAGTTTTTTATCTATATTACTGATACTCGGTGGTGATTGAGGTGAAATCAAAACCTTAGTCATGGCAGGATGAGAACTAGTCACCTTCGAGTTACCAGACTAGTGCTCTGCCAAGTGAGCTACGAGACCCGGTTGCTTACCAGATTTTAATTTCGCTTCAGTCACCAAGGGTTTACCCAACTGCGTTGTGAACTTTTAAAGCGCTACTATCATTCTATCGTATTTATACTGAGTGCTAAGCCTGGACCTACATCCCAGTCCAAAATCGAACTGCTGGTTCTAATCGAATTGCCATCATTTCACCTTCAATAACCACTCAGTACCAACAATACAAGTCTGATACACCGCTGGTATCTCAGATATTCAAGCTGATAACGTTTTACATATTGACAAACCCACCATTAGTTATTGAATATTGATTTACTCAATTAGTGTGTCATTTTTTTACTAAACCCATTCCCTTCTATTTCATTATCTGTATGTACCACAATTAGGGATTACTAAAGGCTGCATAATGAGCTGCGTTAACCATATATGAAGAGGATGGATGGGAAAGGTATTAACTTACTTTTACCATGACATATTCCTTACGCATCTCATTCGCAAGATGAAAGTGTACAACTAGTAATAATAATAATAATAAAAATCTGGTCAACAGTCAGGTCTCGTGGCTCATTTGGTGGAGCACTGGGTGAGGGTACGGGGACTCGTTGGTCGCTGGTTCGTATCCTGCACCGGCCCAAGTTTTCATTTCACCTTCAATCATCATCCAGTATTAATTAATAATAACAGATTTATCTTGCATCCATTTATATTGACAAAACAACTAGTCAATCACTAAACTATCTATCCAAATCTCAGATTACTTATACGTCAAACATGTAGCAATGAACACTGAACACCCTAGAACCGCATGAATTTTCAGTTACTAACACTAATAAGCCTATTCACCTCAGAGTTATAAAACGAGTGTTGCCAACTGAGAACCTTCGTGGATAGTTACACTGTATCTCAAACTGATAGAAGTAGGAAACTGTGAACTGTTGAACTTCAACCCACTGGCTCAATCGTTAACGCATTTGCCACGAGAACTTAAGGTCATGAATCCGGCCGCTGGCCAGAGCTGGGTTACGTGCTGTTGAGGAATCCCATACTAGGATGAAACACTTGCCCAATGCTCCCAGGTTTTCAGTGATTCTCTAATTGATAGCAGTTCATGAGGAATACTGCTCCCAGAAAAAATCCTATATTAACTTGAAACTACAATAGTATTAAGCCTATTCAGCAACAAATGAAATAAAAAATTGGGTCTCTCCATTTCAGTTAAAAAGGCAGACTTTCATAAAGAAGTTTAAGTGGTCAATTTAACTGTTGTTAAGGTGCCCATTAAAGTCACTCTTATACAACATAAGGGCCATTGTGTTAAAAAGTTTTGCGATGCTTATTTTGTGCAGTATGGCTAGCCTACAAATCGCATTGAAAAAAGTTTCGGTAAAGTACGTTCATACCACCGAACATAGGTATAGGTAACATTAGTTTTATTGAGTGGGAAAGAGAACAAAACTCCCAAGGGATAATATAAAAGTATTCTTACTTCAATGAACCAACCCATAAATCATTATACTGATTTCGAGATGCCTCTGTAAGTGTAATCGAAGATGAAGTTTTCTGGAAATAACTAACTGTTTTCCTCTTCATTCCCAGAACTGGAAAAAGATCAATCATCAATTGTTTTGCATACGAACGTGAATTAGTTGATGGTAAAGAACGCATTCCATATTCTGAATCATTTAGTAAACGGTAAGTATCATACGATACAGTTGTCAATGATGAGTACACCATATCATTGGTAGTTTTATTACACTTATCTGTACAATAAGATTCCATGTCAAAAATATCATTTGTACTGAGACTCATAGGATTTTGTTCTGATTTGTGATTAACTTCATCAGATAAAACATCATTAGCATTTTTTAATTGATAGTCATTCATTGTAGTAATAAAATTAGATAATCAATAGACATCATTAATTATGCGTTATTGTTATATTGTGCTTTGTATTTGAAATGGTTGAAATTTTCCGATAACAGAGCCGTTTGACCGCAACATAATGTGTGAACACAATTATTATCATGGTTATAAATATTCCAATCGGTCTGATCAAAAATCCTACAGAATTAACCAATCAGGAAGTAATACTTCAGTCAGTCAATCAAACTATGTCTGAAATGTAGGCATCCTATTGGTGGAAATTATAAGAAAAGTTAGTGTGCTGAATAGCAGAATAGCAACGGATGACACTGTATGCTACCGTTGTTAAGATATGTGGACGCTGATAGTTGATTTTGTTTAGAAAAACTATGTTAATTTGAACCTGGAAAGCGGAAAATCAACATCTATATTCCCTTGATCTCGATGCATCATAAGTCAGTTATGCTGACTGAATTCAGTCTTGTGTTAAGATAAAGTGCGAAACTGTTTAAATGTTTTGCACCCTATATCAACCACACATACATCAAAACAACAGAATGTAAAAAACTTTGAGCACTACATTTTATTCGCTGTCAAGATCAGATTACTGTTACCTACATAGCACAGGATTCCTGTCGACAGCAAAGATGCGTGTGATAATCGTTTTGTCTGTTGAGTAGGGATTTTAACCAAGTAATGACTCTTTCACAAGTGAACTGGTTAAGAAGAAGAAGAAGAAAAACGAACGACCTATATTTAGACTCAGGTGCAAGCAGCTGATGTTGACAGTTCCAGCCTGAGCAAGTGAACAGGTAAATTTTTCCCCAAGGTCACTTTCTCCATAATTCTATATAAAACTAGTGTGGTATACTGTAGTGGATTTCTGTGCAATAGTTACCTAAGTTTTTCCATGCCCCTTTTCAGTGGTTCATCGATTCTCTCATAATGTTTTCTGCGAATGAATTCAAATAAATTCCAAAGTGAAGCATTTTTGACAAACAAAACAAGTAAAAACTGGAAAAAAAACATAAAAAAAGGCGATAGATTATATTGCATCAGAAAGAAACTGCATATACAAAAAGTGGAATCGATAATCTTTTGAAATATGTTGGACATTTCGAACATGTAGTGAATAACTTTTAAAAATGATCAATATTTAAAAAATTCGTTTACGACTACGGAGCACATGAACCTTGTCAGATTGATCTAATAAATAGACTACAATTGATCGAAATAATTTACTTAGATATTTTCGAGATGAATGGGGACTTTTTTAATTTAGAAGTAGTATTCATCATGGACTGACTTCAGTTGGGGAACCGGTGGAAATCCGGGAGCACTGGACAGCTGTTTCGTCCTAATATGGGACGGACTCCTCAGCAGTACGCAGCCACGACTCGGCTAGGGATCGAACTAGAAACCGACCTAGTGGCTGGATGGTCAACGCGTTCGCCGTGAAACCTGAAGGTCCTGAGTTCGATCCCTAGCCGGGTCGCGGGTGCATACTGCCGAAGAGTCGCGTACTAGGACGAAATGGGTGTCCAGTGCTCCCGGATTTTCAATGGTTCCCCAACTGATGTCAGTCCATGATGAATACTACTTCTAAGTCTACTTATATATTTTTCACGCGCTTTGTTAAAATATTTAGATATAATAATGATAATAATAATAATAATTCACTTTATCCCAAACACTTTGTGGTACTATTTGGAATTCTCAGCGTTGTAAGCCTTAAATTGACTTTCTGATGAGATTTCAATGTAATTGGTATGACTAGTAAATGAATACACAATCTAGTAATCGAAATCTCCAATTTTGTCATGGACGTTATTACGGAACTCTAACTCCTGTCAACTACCCTAACTGAAATTGATCTAATCACAGCAGAATCCTTGTAATCTAGAATATGCGATTGATTCAGTCCTGTTATTTGAAGACATTGACAAGATACAGCGTCTTCTGGAAACTTTGGGTGACAAATTGAGAATATATGTGATGCGTTTCTCACCACCCATATGCAAGTTGTTGCTCAGGGATCGGTCTCAAGCGGTGCCCTGGCTAACAGTAGGGAGTGAGGTGATTGAGCGCATTTTGGCACATTAGTCAACTGGGAAGTCGGATCATACTTAGTGCTTCGGTCAGTAACTAATGGAATCTCCACATGAATACAAAAGGCACGATTGTCTTCCGCCAACTTACACCATCTGTGGCTCCGCCGCGATAACCAAATCCCTAATAAGGGTCGAAGTTTGCTCTACTGTGATCTACTCTGATCTATGGCCGTGAAATATGACTATTAAAGGTAGAGGATACGTGAAGACTTCAGGTATTTGATCACTGAAGCCTTCGTATCATAGGCCGTGTGTCTTCGTGTCACCATGTCAGCTACGCAGAAGTTAGGTGTAGAGTTTTATGGAAGAGAGGAAAGTCAATTTATAAGTTTGTGAACCTTCACCAACTAAGATGGCTGCGATATGTGTTACGCATGCCCAGTTATCCTCTTCCTCGTCACACAGTGTTGGCTGGGAGCAGCCAGACTAAAACACTGTATCAATGGATGAAATCCCTGACTCTTAGTCTGAGCCATGTAAGAAGATGCAGACTAGCTGGTTGAGTCTACATAAAAACACAGACCAGTAGTTGGAGACTCTAGGTGATATGTCTCAGAATGGAGGTCAGTGGCATAGATATATGCACATTTTTTTCTTCATTTTAACCGCTATGCTGAATTAGGCATTTCCTCAATCCTCCTTTCTCTATTTTACTGCTTTCTACGTCTATTGATCGAGTTTTCCTTCTTCCTTCCTGTTTCATCTTATTAGTTTGTTATTTGATGTGCTGATATGAGATGTGGTAACTTAGACCTTCGTGCAGTAGTGCTTGCTTCTCTGTCTATATTGATCACAATGATCCAAAGACCATCAAAGACAGAATATAGACCTACATGAAAATAAAGACAAAATCTTGGTACGTCCGCAGAAAAGTTCAGGAATCGTGATGCTCAGTCGACCCAATTGAATCGACAAATTATCAAGTCTATTATCCGACGATACAAAGTTCTGCAACCCACGCAACCAGAATGACATGAGTGATCAAACAGAAAATCTTCCCACAAAAGTAATAAAAAAGAAGAACGAATCAGTGAATAATGTGGACTAATATGAACAACACCCATTTCGGTCATATCCAGGTTATATGGCCTACCAAATGTACACAAAAGAGATGTTTCACTTCCACCATTGCTAGATTTGACCAATTCTCCATATCATTAGAGTACTAAATGTCTGGTTAATAGCCTTAAATTGGTAAGGAAGCAAATGGCAAAATATAGCGTCAGTGGCACCTGTGAGTGGAAATATGGGAGCGCTGGAAAGCTGTTTCGTCCTAGTATGGGACTGCTTAGCAGTACGCACACAAAACCCAGCTAGGAATCGGACGCAAGACCTTCAGGTTTCACGGCAAACGAGTTAACCACTGATTGGCACTAAACAGTAATATATTTTGAGATGAATGGGGATTTTTAATTTAAACATGCTTCCAGATGGATATCACGAAGTCCTATTGGGAAACCGGGACCTGTGAGGTCAACCAGTCAAAACGGAAGCGGATGGCAAATGAAGACCTTAGGTGATAGTCGCGCTATATCGTGAATTGACAGAAGTTGGAAACTGTTAGCCACTGAAATTCGACCTAGTGGCTGAATGGTTAATGCGTTCTAAAAGGTCTTGAGTTCGATCCCTAGCCCGGGTCATAGGTTTGTACTGCTAAGGAGTCCAATACCAGGACGAAACATCTGCCAGTGCTTCCAGATTTCAAATGGTTCCCCAACTGATGTCAGTCCGCTATGAATACTACCTCTAAATTAAAAATCGTTATCCGTCTCAAAAATACATAACAGTAGACGGTTATTTGCGTTCATCGTTTTAATTACGATTGTACAGCTTTAGTAAATGAAATCATCGAAAGGAAGATTTTCTTCACCCTCAATATGGGAATTTCCAGTTCGCTGAGGGCTAGGTCGACAAGATGCGCTAACTTCCAAACTCAATTAGAAACTTTCAATACACAGAATGATCGGCTGTGTTGTCAAGTTGTAAAGTGCTAACCAAATTCTTTTGATTGACTGTGGAAAGCTAATCACAAACCAACTGGCTCACTGTTAAAGTATATCTAACCTGATGTGAAATGGTTCCTGGTGCTCTGTAGGTGACCTAACATATTCGATACCGAGAATTGTGACTGACAGTCACTTATTCTGATGACTGTCGTATAAAGCCGATTGACAGAATGGAGTCGAAAGTTCGAACTGGACAGCATGATAATTCTGGCTACCGCGTAACCAGGTGACACTGGTTTGAATTTCTATGGTGGCGTTAGTTTTCTCAAGAATACGAAAACATCTTGCCAACAAACCTAATACTTTATGCACTCATTTCAGAAATTTGTTATATGCTCTGATTTGCTTTAATTACAATAAAAATATCTAAGTGAGTAAAATAGTTTCTGGTAAATTCATTTTCTCAAACATGACTGCTAACTTATTCGTGAATAAAGGTTAACCAATCGAAGCTGTCAAGACACTAGGAGTCTGAGATTCTTATTAAATCATATCCAAGATGTGTGTATGAAGGTTCCCTCCATCATGTTTGACTGCAGGGATTGACTTTTTTATAGGACGCTCGTTGGTAGATCTATCATACATCCATGAGTATTCCTTTCAGATAAGAATGCTTACATGATACAGAGTTTTCCGGATACATTGTGAGACTATTAGTGAGTGTTTGGGGGTGCATTTCTCCCCATAGAAGAGAAATTGTTTTTTCGGGACTGATCTGTGTTGGTTTACCGTCAAAAAATAGGGACGCGTTGACTAATCCACTTACGTCCGAATTCACATCACCTCTGAGAAGTCAGTGATAGCCTAAATCTCACCATTTATAAAAGAAGTTCCACTTACTCTTGCTATATAAGTCATGCATAGCCTCGGCGAGTTATGCGATCACCTACTGAAAACCGAGTGT